GCATACTGCTGGACTCTCTTCAGCTCAGCTTGATCCAACAACTTCTTCATCTCTTCACTGAGAGTCTCCTCCAGCTGAGCCACAGCGTTCCTCACAGTCTCCTCATAAAGTGGTTGACAGACATTAACCTCTGTCCAGTCTTTGGTGGGTGGAGCAGAGTTAACAGACTGGACTCTCTGGATTAGATGGAAGTGGTCTTCAGAGCGTGAGAGCTGCTGCACCTCAGTGCTCCTCTTCATCAGCTCACAGATTTCTTGCTCCAGCTCTTTGATGAAAGCTTCGGCCTGTTTCTCTGTTGTTTTCAGCTTCTTGTCGATCGTGTTGATGAACTCGGCCCGGCCTCTCTCAACAGACTCCTTCAGAGCGGTGAAGACTCGAACACCTTCTGCCATCTCTCTGTCTGCATCGTCCTTACTGAGGTCCACTGAGTGTTTGATCTCCTGAATCTTCAGTTGTCTTTTCTGGATCATCTGCTGAATTTCAGCCTCTGTCTCCTCTAGCTCTGCCTTCTTTTCTTCATATTCTTCTTTCAGAGGAACAAACTCGTGTGTCTTGTGGTCTAAAACAGAGCAGAGCATGCAGACACAGGTCTGATCGGTCTTACAGAACAGCTCCAGAGGTTTATCGTGCTTCATACACATCCTGTCCTCCAGGTTCTCCACAGGGTCGATCAGCTGGTGTCTTTTCAGACGTGAAGCTGTCAGATGAGGCTCCAGGTGAGTCTCACAGTAGGAGACCAGACAGTCTAAGCAGGACTTCAGGGCCTTCAGTTTGGGTCCAGTGCAGGCTTCACATAGAACTTCTCCTGGTTTGGACTCTTGAAGCTCTGAGCTGCTGCTGCTGCTGGCTTCCTGCTGAGCTTTGTCTCTGAACTGACCAACCATCTCAGAGAGCAAAGTGTTGACATGCAGCTCAGGTCTTGTGTTGAAAACCTTCTTACATATTGGACACCTGTACTGGTCGCTGGTGTTCCAGTGTTCAGTGATGCAGTTTTTGCAGAAGTTGTGTCCACATGGTATGGTGACAGGATCATTGAACACATCCAGACAGATGGAGCAGAGAAACTGATCCTCAGACCGATGATAGTTTGCAGCAGCCATATCTACACAAAGTGTAAGAAAGAAAAATATTATATTAATTTACTCGCAGGTTTAGACAGCAGGTGATCTGCGTGATGACAATCCAGTCCAGGCCTGACAGTAGGTGAGTAACAGGATACATAAAAATCTGGAAATTTGTGTTTAGTAGATTTTTTGTTTGTTTGTTGTAACAATGCTTCTTGGCAATAAACATTATACTGTTGGAAAGCCTGTTTATTGCTCTTTTAAATGTTGCCACATTTGTAAGGAACATGCATTTGTGGGATGAGCAGCAGAGCTGAGGATGTGGGTTGTGCCCATGAAAAACATGACTTGAATGAAAACAAATTTCACTTCCTTCTCTGCTTCCTTGAAATTAAAAGCCTAATTTTTGTTTCTCCATGTCAAGCTTTTATTGTGAAACAGCCAGAGGAAATAGAATTTAGTTTGGCAGCAGGATGTTATCAGTGAACAACAACGATACAAGGAAGTTAGAAATAAACCAAAGTCCAAATGAGAGAACCTCAGTTACACACACACACACACACACACACACACACCCACCCACACACACAGTTTAACAAGCTGGAGTATGAAGAGAGAGTGAAATGAAGAGTTGAGTGTAAATCCTGGTTGTTCAAAGTGTAAACATGATCAGCTGTACTCACCAGTGTTTGCAGAGACTCTGCTGTGTCGTTGACAAAGATTGGATGAAGTTAGTGTAATTTCTTTGAAGAGAAACGGAAACCTTTCTGGACGGCTGCGTGGTCGACACCCTGACAAACTTTAAGTTTCATTTCTTCAGAGTGACGCTGAAGCTCTCCTCCCTCACCTGTGGCTCCGCCTCTAACTGCAGCTTGTTTCTTCCCTCTGAGTCACAGGGCTGTTGTGAAATACCAGCTTCAATAGACTGATCTGATCTGATCTGAGAAGAGGAAGAGTCTCATTAAAGTCGTCGTATCTTCTTTGTGAATAAGATACTCGAGTTCATTTATTACAGTCACTCTCATGTATCAGGAGAGTTTGGTGCTTGTTGTGGCAGCAGAACAGAACTGATCACTTCTTGTTTCTTCATGTTGGGCTCCATCTAGTGGTCGTTGTGTGTCATAGCAGCAGTCAGAGGTCTACATGGAAACCTGTTGTTTCTGCAGCAGTGTAGCAGGAGAGTCCTGTAGGAGTGGTCTGACACCACCAGGCCTGTGTGGTTTCTGGAATTGTTCAGAATTGAATTATTTTCTGTATTTATAAACCCAGCTGACAGACTGTCAGTGATGGAGTTTAGTTTGAAACAATAAGGTCAACATAGAAGAGTAAAGCTTCATTCTTCTTCCTCGTCTTGTTACCTGTGAGAAGAACAAACAGCTCAGATGTCTCGGGATGTAAACCTGAAGTGTTCTTCCTGGTTTTTATTCATGCTCTTACGTGTCTCTAACGTGTCTGAATTGAATTGTTTGATCTTCAGAGCTCTGCAGCGTGTCAGGTCATGATTTGTTTTGTGTGTGTGCAGACGTGAAGAAGCAACAGAAGAAGAAGAAGAAGAAGAAGAAAGGGGAGGAGGAGGAGCGCACCACTGAGGAGGAAGAAGAGCTGGAGAAACAAAAGGTCAGAGGTCAATGGCTGCAGCTCCACGTGAGTTTATCACATCTGTAAATATCACCTGAAGACAGCATCTCAACGTGTGTGTGTGTGTGTGTGTGTGTGTGTGTGTGTGTGTGTGTGTGTGTGTGTGTGTGTGTGTGTGTGTGTGTGTGTGTGTGTGTGTGTGTGTGTGTGTGTGTGTGTGTGTGTGTTTTCTGTGTGTGTGTGATTGTGTTTTCTGTGTGTGTGTGTTTTCTGTGTGTGTGTGTGTGTGTGTTTTCTGTGTGTGTGTGTTTTCTGTGTGTGTGTGTGTGTTTTCTGTGTGTGTGTGTGTGTGTTTTCTGTGTGTGTGTGTGTGTGTGTTTTCTGTGTGTGTGTGTGTTTTCTGTGTGTGTGTTTTCTGTGTGTGTGTGTGTGTGTGTTTTTTGTGTGTGTGTGTGTGTGTGTGTGTTTTCTGTGTGTGTGTGTGTGTGTGTGTGTGATTGTGTTTTCTGTGTGTGTGTGTGTGTGTGTGTGTGTGTGTGTGTGTGTGTGTGTGTGTGTGTGTGTGTGTGTGTGTGTGTGTGTTTTCTGTGTGTGTGTGTTTTCTGTGTGTGTGTGTTTTCTGTGTGTGTGTGTGTTTTCTGTGTGTGTGTGTGTGTGTTTTCTGTGTGTGTGTGTGTGTGTGTTTTCTGTGTGTGTGTGTGTTTTCTGTGTGTGTGTTTTCTGTGTGTGTGTGTGTGTGTGTGTGTTTTCTGTGTGTGTGTGTGTGTGTGTGTGTTTTGTGTGTGTGTGTGTGTGTGTGTGTGTGTGTGTGATTGTGTTTTCTGTGTGTGTGTGTGTGTGTGTGTGTGTGTGTGTGCAGGCGGAGATGGCCCTGCTGATGGAGGACGAGGGCGATGAAGCCAAACACAAACACTTTAATTACGATAAGATCGTGGAGCAGCAGAATCTGAGCCAGAAGAAGAAGAAGCTGCTGAAGAAGAAGGGGGAGGAGCTTCAGCAGGAAGACCAATTCCAGGTGGGTGTGATGATGTCACAGGTCGTGCTGCTCCAGCTGAATGTCCTCCGGTTTCCAGGACTTGACTTTAGCATTCAGCCGCTAAATGTTCAAACTTTTGTTTTGACCACAATCGTCCCGTTTAACGTGTTTTGATCTGATTTCAAAGATGAACAGTCGACCTGAAGAAGAAATAAATATATAGACGTTCATTTCCCTCTCTCGTGGTGTGATGGAGTCAAAGGAAGGCTGTTAGCTCTGTGTTGACTAAATCGTGGTCATGACGATGTTGTAACATTCTCCCTCTCTCTCTGTTTGTGCGTCCAGGTGGATGTGAAGGACCCTCGTTTCCAGGCCATGTTCACCTCCCACCTCTTCAACCTGGACCCCTCCCACCCCAGCTACAAGAAGACCAACGCCACGCAGAGCATCCTGACGGAGAAGCAGCGCCGCAGAGACGAGGAGCAGCGGCGCCTGGAGGACGGGCTCAGAGATCAGGGGGAGGGAGCCGACAGGAAGCAGGTGGCGGGGAAGAAACGGGAAAAGGACCGTGACGCCGCGGCGGCGGTCGACCTCACCTCGAAGAAAGCGATGGACCCGAGTCTGTCTATGCTCGTCAAGTCGATTAAAAGCAAAACGGAGCAGTTTCAGGCTCGCAAGAAACAGAAACTGGTGTAGGTGGAACTCTCAACACAAAAGTGTGCAGACCGGCAGAGACTGGGAGAAGTCCCAGCCTGCAGGAACAGTTTCTCCTGATGAACTCTACTTCCTGTTTGATGTTTTTATACAGAAAGAGACGCCACAAAGTAGAAGAAGGTGCAGGAAAAAGTGAATGGTGCTGCATCACATGCTGTGAGAATGTTTTATTTGGACAGTTTCTTCACACAGAACTCCTAAAGAAGCCCTGCAGTTATTTTCAAACACATGAAGAAGAAGAGAGCGACGCCCTGGACCTCAAGAAACACGTTCACCATCATGACACCGAGGTTTTTACTTTAGTAAATCACTTTTCACATTTCAGCTTTCTTTGGGGGAGATTGTTCCTCCAGCAGCTGTGAGCTGATGTTTCTGTGAGCTGTCAGCATCTTACCCCGTTTCCACGTACTCCAAGAGCGTCGCGGTCGGTCAGCGCCGTGCACGGTCAGCGCCGTGCACTACACCGCAGCTCACCGCCACTCTACTCAATGATCGTGTTTCCACAGCGAGCGCCGCGTTTCAAACACGCTGTGAATCTGTTTCTGACGGAGCACGCTGCAGGCACGCGTCAAGCTGGACAGGAAGTCAGACGAGGAAACGCACAGAGTGCGCTGTCAATTTCAAAATAAAACACAACATACGGACTCCTGATCGTATTTTCCATCACTCGTAGTCGGCGTAGTTCTCCTGTGAAGGATCCAGTGGGGGCAGAGTGCGCCGCCCGATGGAGCAAAAAGCGCGGCGCTGACAGACCGCGGCGTGCACGGAGTGTGTGTGAATTGGGAGTGACAGAGTGACGCTGTTTCTAAAGTGGTGAAAAGTTTTCTTTCTTTAAATGAATGTTTCTTTGGTAACTCGAGTTCCAATAAAGAGAAGTTTGTGATGTGAAGATGATCTGGCATGAGGATCATTTTATCTGCAGGTCAAATGAAGATGACAACATAACATCTTGTGAATTCTGTGTTTCTGATTGGTCCTTTGGATTCAGCAGAACGCCCTGCAGTCATCACGTCCTGGAGCTGTCAATCAAACCAAGTCTCCACATTCTGCTTCCCTTAAAGCAGGGGTGTCAAAGTCCTATTGGGCCGGGGGCCGGATTTGTTCAAATGAGACCTCAAGTGGGCCGGACTAATTGTGCAGACATCACTATAACTCAACACATGGATATATAGGCTAATGTATGATTAGAAAAAAATACAAAAAAAGGTACTTGTATAGAAAACTGCATATTAACACATAAAATGTATAAGTACATTAAGCAGAGGGGTTAACTCTCATTGCAAACTGCATGTCGGCCCATGGAAATATTTAAGTATACAACATTACAGAACAAAACATGCATAATTATGTTTTGTTTGAGATTATTATATTATGTTTTAATATTGCTGTTCAAGGTTATAGAAACTTTGACAGGTTATTCTACCTGCCCTGGGATCAGTGCATTAGAGAGAGAGACTTTAGGTGTGTGTGTGTGTGTGTGTGTGTGTGTGTGTGTGTGTGTGTGTTCATCACAGATTAAACCTGCTCACATGAATCTGTTGTCACAAACACACAGAGTGTCTTTGATGTAAACAGTCATCTTCAGGTATTTTAGTGTGAGGCATTATAAAATGATAACATGTTTCCAAACCAACAGACTTGAATTGATCCTTCAGTTGATCACTGCAGTCTGATCAGCTCCGTGTGGAGTTCAACTTCTTTAACTAAGTAAACTCAGTTAAACCACTTTTGATATGAGTCTGGCAGTCCGTTCTTCTCCGTGTCCGCAATATCGTGATCTAACTCTGTCACTGACTTTTTATGCACCATGAATCTGTGCCATCTCCGTGCGTAATTCAGGGAAGAATTATAGCTCTGCTCCGGGGTTAAACCAGCGGACCTCTGTATGATCGGACAGCCTGTGTGTGATATTGTTTTCAGATAAGAATGAAATGTTCAGTAATAGTTATATTTTTACAGTCTGATTAAAGCTGGTGATAAAGGCACAACAGCAGGCTACTGCATTTAGAAGTGATGTCTGAAACCTTTACGTGATCAACACGTTCACCTCTGGGTGACCTAAAAATGAACCATCTGTAAATAAAATCAGTTAATATTCATTTTAATTTACTGTTTTTACAATAACCAGAGGTAAAACTAGTCGGGAGATGCATCAGGCTCAACACCGGTGTCCACAAACTACACTGGATGTGTGGAGACGGTCTGGGCCGTTACGCAGGACAGAGAGGATTGTTTTTTATTTGCACGAGCTGCTCTTTGTGGCTCACTCCATAGGAAGCTTTGTTATTATCAGCCAAACTTTTGTTTTACATCAGTCAAGCCAGGAGAAACTGGTAAGAAGAGTGGACAGAACTGAAGACCGTCAGGATGAGCGTGCAGTGCAGCGCCCCCTGTGGTTAAGTCCTGTAGCTTTCATACAATTCTGGCAACTTGTGAGCAAATAAAACTAAAGAAATATCATTCCTTCGATCTCTCTTGAAAACCTGCATTCTGTGTCACCTCTCTCAGGTGTTCAGCCTGTTTGCTGATTAGCGTAATGCAGGAGCAGCTCGTGCACTCAGCCACTCCTCTTTTTTATGATACTCCTTGCTGAGAAGATAATTCAAGTGCCCCGTTTAATTAATATTCGTATCATGATATCAACCTTTACGTTGCTCATTTTAATACAATTCGGGGAAAATACATATTACAAAAATGTATTTTATAAAAAATCTCAA